CAACTGAAGGACCAGTGCATCCGGGGCTCCAAACAGGAACTGTCCTCCTTCTTCATCGGCCCAGTCATTGATGAGCTCGTCCAAGGTGACAGGAGAAGCTCCCCCCAGGAACAAAACGTTCAAGGGCATCTGTTCACGTTCTTCCAGCTGACCAGATAGAGTCCAATGGAAAAACTTGCTTCCATAGAAACTCGTGCTTGCATACTCCCAGAGGAAGCCCAAGAAGTCAGACGCGTCCGCCTGACTTCCTTGTTCGAAATGCTCCCAAATCAGGTCCATGTTGGCCAGCATGGGGAGCGATTGAGGGTCCGGGCTTGAGAGATACTGGCGGGTGGCTCCTTGAGTTTGGCCCCAAGCCAGATAGGCATCTTCCGCAAAGGCCCCTGTCCAGCACCAGCTCCTGAAAGGAGCATTGCCAAAACAAAGGTTGTAGCCATCCGGGTTCCTCAGAATGGAGGTCAGAACCTGGGAGATGATGAACACATTCGCCATAGGCCACCTAGTGTCCCCTGGCAAGCTGAGGTGCTTGTGTATGATGTTTTGCATCCTTTTCAAATCAGCAAGAACCTGTTGTCCATGATGAGGGTCCGCAGAAGTGCGGTACCGCTGCACTGAGAGCTGCAGATCCTTCTGACACAGATCAAAAAGAAAGCTCTGAGCTTCCGTCAGAGCTGTAGTGCCAAAATCTTCTTCCATTGAGCCCTGCTCGCACGTTCCTGGGGTGGTCCCGAAAGAAGCAGGACACGAGGTCCGCTCAGAGGTAGAACAGCTCGGTGCCACCACAGGAGTGCTCAGGGTGCCGGAAGAGGTGGTTGACGCCCCTCCTCCACAGATCTTCAGTGAGGGTCGTCGTCTTTGAGGCCCATAGCTCACGTGTCGCCTGGGCGAGCTGGCGCTTGAGCCTGGAGGTAAAGAAAAGGAACATAGATTGTGATGCTCCCCACAATCCATGTCACAAGTGTGTCCCCATGCATGCAATGAAGTGCATGTCAAAGACCCCATGGCATCCAATGATGAAGCTTCTGAAGCGGGGTTACCCGCACGACATGTCCCCCGGGGCTTCGGTCTTGCGCCGCTTGGCTTCATCCGTTGCTTCAGTCTGCGGCCTTTTGAGCATCAGCTGCAGCTGCTGTTGTTGCTCTGCTGTGAGGCTGACACCTAAAGTGTTGATGAACCCAGCCACCGCATCCGGGACCGGGTCAGCTCCTCCAGTTTCGGGGAGATCAGCAAGGTCAGGCTTAGCTGCATTCACAAGGGACATATAGGAGGCGCTTGTGGCCGTCAGGGTCTGCTGTTCAGTCTCGATGCGAGTTTGGATGCCTTTTTCTCGTCGAGGAGATCTTGGTATGCTTTCTTTGTGGAGTCAATCCGTCCTTGCAGAGTGGCCTTCTTGTGTGACAGATCCTTGAGGAGAGTCACTTGTGACTTGAGCTTCGAGGCCACATCCTTCTCTGTAGGCGGTGACGGACGGGTCAACTTTTCCACCAGGTCTCGTACAGTAGGTGGTAGCTGAGCCATGTTTTCCACCAGCACCTCGGTCAGGTCAGGCTCTGGTGTTGGGGGAGGAGGCGAAATGCCCAGCTCTTGAAGCTTGTCCTGCAAGGCCTTGCCGAGGGTGGTCCAAGCTGGAGCCAAAATGGCCGCCGTGGCCTTTTGGATCTTGGTGGCCTTGGGTGGTCGAGTGTGAAGACCCGGCGGAGGAGCAACCGGCCACTGCTTTGCCTTTGGTCTGGTAGGTGACCTGGAAGATCCACCTGAGCTGTAGCCCTTGGGGGGCCGCGGCCAGGCCTCACCGCATTTGCGGCAAACAAACCCGGCTTGGATTTTGTCTTGCCAGATCCAGTTGGAGCATCCTTCGTGGCCACACACCTGATAGGCTCGACCCCAGCTAGTCCAGCCCGGTGACATATCCTCGACCTGCTTCTCGTCGATCTGGTGCGTGTGGGTGTGGAGGCCTTCGTGCTCCCCGTTCAGGCCCTCTCGGAAGTCAAACAAGTAGCACCAGTGCCAAAGACGAAGTCACCCAGACCGGCTTGAGCCGAAACTTGAGCCTTGAGCCTATATATATATACAATATATCAATAAATATGTATATATATATGTTTTTTTGATATTGAAATATATAATTGTTTAAAATTTAAAACATATTAAGTTATACCGAGGGCTCCAAGTACCTCCTCCAAAGCTACTTGCACACACTCCGTATTTGATCGGCCGGACACCGCCGGCGCAGAGCCGCCAGCGGTTTTCATTGCGACGGTGGCCCGTCGAGACGGACCTTCTTGGGCGACCAATACTCATCTAAAATGGTCAATGGTAAATGCTATAAAAACATTCAATTAGCTTCTTGTTACTACTCTTAAGGCACTTGTTACTAGTAGCGATGCACTTGTTCCCAGCAGCTTCTTGCTCCTAGTAATGGTAAATATATATATATAAGTAAAAAAGATTGCATCGATTTTGCACTGATAGCCCTATTGAATTGAACTTGCATGTGCTGCATCTTTGTCAGCTCCAGCCTCACGCAACAATTGCACAACTTCCAAGTGGCCATTCCTGGCTGCAAACCGCAAAGCCGTTGAACCATCGGTATCTGCTGCATCTTTGTCAGCTCCAGCCTCGAGCAACAATCGCGCAACTTCCAAGTGGCCATGCTCGGCTGCAAAGGGGGGTAGCGCTGCGAGTGTCCCAACCTGTCGCGGGTTAAGGACACGCAAAGCCACTCGCTAGGCAGAGTCCTCAGGGAGAGTACAAGCTGCCTGCAGGGTTCTACGCCGTAACGTGTGCTCTTCGTGTCGGATGTTTCCCATTTGTTGAAGAAGGTCCAAACAAGAGTCGAGAGTCATCCCAGGGCCCCACCCTAAACGCGCAGCAAAGTCGGAAACCGGACGCGGTAGCACCCGCAGCGCAGCGAAAAGCCGGCAGACCCACAGCACATGATCGATGGAAGGGACCACGGGCTCATGACAATACGGACAACGCTGAGGACGGACAGCAGCATGGACAGTAGCAGGAGTGGACATGCCCCCCACTAAAACGGCCGCCGCCTCCCCGGACACCCGTTTGACAAGCCCTTTGAGCAATGACCCTATATGCTCGGAGTACTGCAAATTCAGCTCACGGCCAATAGCAGAATCACGTCGTTGTCGATTTTGCAACCAACTGTTAAACTGCCAAGACCGCCAAGACTCGCGGAAATGGTGAAGCATTTTCCCAAATTGGGCCGGTTGAGACCGGATGTCCAAACGAACCCCGGACGCGTGCTCCCACACGCCCCACTGACGAGGAGTCCAGCACCAACGTCTCATCTCAACATTGACTTTACGCAAAATTCTCAAATCAGGAAGAGGAAACATCATCTCAATCCCAAAACGCTCCCACCAGGAGCACAAGGTTGCTAATACCCTTTGAGTGGCAAGGAACGAGAGATCGCCACGGTGCCCCCAACGAGCCAGGAGTTCAAGATTCCGAGAAGCGCGACCATGTTGGCCACCCATGCAAGCTTTCCGAAACAACACACGCCAAGCTGACGGCTCATGCGTCATGCGACCAGTGATGAGCTGGTTCCAAACCGCTTTATTGGACATCATTGAAGCCGCCACATCGGCGCGAACAGCAATGGAAGACGGCAGCAAACTGATGCGAGAAGCAAGTTTGTTGACTGCCTCAATACGCTCCAATTCCTTTTCATGCAACGCATCGGCACCACACAAGACTGAACCCAAAACAACACCAGACTCATTTGGGTCGTTTAGTGACCAAACTTGCGTCTTAGCAGCATTGCCTCGCATGCGTGAAACGCTTTCAAGTTCAAGCCAGGAGTCAAGAACGCCTTGCACATGCTCGGCTGCAAAGTGCAAAGCCGTTGAACCATCGGTATCTGCTGCATCTTTGTCAGCTCCAGCCTCACGCAACAATTGCACAACTTCCAAGTGGCCATTCCTGGCTGCAAAGTGCAAAGCCGTTGAACCATAGGTATCTGCTGCATCTTTGTCAGCTCCAGCCTCGAGCAACAATCGCACAACTTCCAAGTGGCCATTCCCGGCTGCAATGTGCAAAGCCGTTGACCTAGATGTCGTTGCAGCAGAATCCTCGAGCAACGATCGCACAACTTCTGAGTGACCATCATGGGCAGCAAGAAGAAAACCTGCCCTGTTCGGGTCCAGTGGCTTTTGAAGCAGCCTTTCGATGTGAGCCACATTATTATCCTTGCAACTTGTGAGCAGTTCTTCTTCCATGGTCTCATCAGGGGCACACAAGGGCAGAATTACCAGCTGGACACTTGATAGTGGTCGTAGAGGCAAGTCGTCCTCCAATTCGCCAAGCCCGTCACTGAAGAGTCTTTGCTGAAACCTTGAGCACCCAACCTGAGCTGAAAGAAGCCGCTTGAGGTCTCGAACAGATTGCCCACTTTCCACCATTGAATGCAGCTGTTCCTCATCAAGCTGAGCAATCGTGTTGCCAGACGCAGCGGTAACCTGCATTGTTGAGGTTTCATAAGCAAGAAGCGTCGGCTTGAGCCATGGTCAAACTCCAGGTGGAAAAACTATGACATTGAGACGAACGTGAACCAAACAAATGAAACAGCGGCCTTCCTGCACCAAGTCTACCATTACTCCTCGACCCCTTGATCATACTGGAGAGTCCATCCAGATCTGCAGGGTCAATTGATTGCTGGCATGCCACGTGGTGAGACACCAAAAAGGAATGTCCTTTCAGCAACCGTGGTTCTCCCAACGCGTCTTATCATAACTCCAATGTCTTCAGTGGGTTTGCCCGGAAATCGAGCTGGTACACATTCCCAGGGGAAAAACCTCTAAGAAAAGACAAATGTTCAGTTTGAAGTACAGTACGGAAGAAAAAATCGTACTCAAGCAACACCCTTCCAAAAGCGTTGGTAAAACATGGTAAAACAAACTCAACCAAGGCATAGAAAGAATCCCTTTGCTCACCGTGCAGTGAGACATCCAAACCCCCTTCCACCCAACTGGGGACCACACCCCGGCGGCAGATTCAACGCTGCGAACTGCCAAGCGCCGGTGGCCGGGGCAACTGACCCCGCGGCGTGGGTTTTGGCGCCCGTGGGTGGAAACAGCTGAGTGGTCTTAGAATCTCCTACGAACAAGGAGCTCCCAGCAGAGGTTGAAGAACCCATAGACTATCCTAGAGGTACCCCTGTAGGGTCCTATAAGGTCACTCAACCTTTGTTGCTCTTGCTGTCCCCGCCCCAGAGACATGGAGCCCTTGCTGGCCACTGGCCCATCAACGAGCTGAGGTCACAAGAGAGCAAGACCTCCGGTCCAAGACCGACCAAGGGCTCCGGTGAAGGACCTCTCAAGGACCCCCCAGAACCACTGATCAACCCTCCTCCCCCAGGTCCGTGATGCCTCTGCCTCTGCGCCACGCCACGCGTGGCGAACGAACGAACGACGAAGCCCCAGGGAACCGCGACGACGACGACGACGACCAAACATGCCGGCGCGGGACGATCTGCGCGGCGTACGGTTTCCGTTGAACCTGAAGACGGACCGTCCAAAGCGGCCGAGGTCGACCGTGGCGGGAGGCGAGTGGGAGCCGTCGTGGTGTTTTTTTTGGGGGGAAACGGCTGCAGGGTCCTGGAGCAGCTGGGGGAAAACCATCAGATGTCATCCAAGAACCCACTGGTACGGCCCAAAAGAAGTGTCTTAGAAGTTGCAGGTTCAACCCCAATCGTTGCCCAGATCGTCTTCTGCCCGCAGACCGCGACGGGGCTTGCAACTTGAGTGCAGGCACAACCGGTTTGCTTGGGAAAACGACCATTTCATGATGAGTATTCGCTAGGGCTCCAACCACCTCCGTTTCGAAGATGGTTGGGGTGGGTGGTCTTGGGGGGTCTAACCACCGAACCTGAGGAGATGGGCCAGGAGGTGTAGGGATTGGCTGAACTAAGTGGTTGAAAGGGCTTGCCACGCACATGTCATTAAAACGCTTGCCACGTTCAGATCATCGAAGATCCATCAGCTTTCAGCTCCGGCCGAGCGATGCCGAAAAGGACCGGTCGAGACCACTCAACTCGACCCAACCCCCATAAGATGCAAGCTTTGAAACTTGCACTCAACAAGTGTTTTCTGGGTATGGCTGCAGGTTCCTGTCGGGGCACCATCCGGTTTCATCCAAGAACCGTATACATACGAGCTTTGAAACTTGCATTCAACAAGGAAAACACCCGCAGATCTTCCTTGAAGCTCCTCTGTGGAGCTGCGTGGAAAAAGAATGACTGCTTGCGTGAGAGGTGTCTTTTTCAAAGGGTACCCACCTCAACATGACTCAACATGAACCCGCCCACTTCCACTCCACCCATCTTGGCTCGTCTCGCTCCTCGCTTCCTCGCTTCCTTCGGGTCCTTTTCGGGGGTCCCTCCGGTGGCACCGGTCGCCTGGCGGAACTCCTGGAGATTGATGGTGCCACTCTCGTCCTGTAGGAAGCCACCCGGTGACCAGGTTCGGAGGTGCGCCGCACAGCCGAAGCGGGGCTTCGGGGCCTTTCAAGGTTGGTTTCATGGGCACCAAATCCGCACTAGAGACTGCTTGGCCGCGCGCGTTTCGAGGAGGTCCTTTTTGGACTTTCTCGCTCTCCGCGCTCTCGTGTGGCTCAACCAGTAAAAATGGTGGAAAAATGCCAAGACATCCCCAACATCCCAACCATCTCCTCATCAGAGGCATCAATCGCTTCCAGGAGTTGAGCGACCTCGCTGCCCCGCGGCCAAAAACGTCGGAGTCGCATGATGTGCTGCGAAAGTCTAAGGGGCGAACAACGACGGAAAAACCGGGCGAAGATCGCCACGAAGGGTCGGACGAGGCCGGTCGAAAGAGACGAAAGGTCGACGGTCGGCTCGGTTCGTTCGCCCTCTGAGCCCTGGGACGAGAGAAATCAACGGGACGGTCCAAGCAACTGGGCGAAGAAGAACTCAATGAACTGAAGGAGGAGGCATCAATCTCATAACATGAAAGACGAGGATGAGATTGATGGGGCACAGTGGCTCGCCTGGGATGAGATCCCTTTTCTTCACAGAGTCTGGCCCTGCGCCAACACCTAAACCATCCGCAAGGTTCGCCTGCATGTAGAGAGACCAGGATTTCTAGGGTGCTATTGGAGAGCTTCTACATCAAAAACCAAAACGCTACAAAACGGACCTTCCAGATCGCCAGGTATTTCTTCATCAATCGACAATGGCTTCATCTCCAAACTCCAGACTCTCCCTCAACTCGAACTCTCCGTCTCGGGTGTCCCTCCTCGCGAAACGCGTCGCGCCCTCACCGAAGCGCTCTCTCGACGTCTCTCGCGGTCTCAGAGAGCGTCCCCTGAGCTGGCCGGGCCATGAGCATCTTCATCTCCCGGATTTTCTGCGAAGGACCCGGCCAGACCGGAGACGTCTCCGGGAGGGACGTCCCAGGACGGAGGCGTCTCCGCTGCGAGCAGCGCAAACGAAGGGTCCGCCAGCAAACGAGACACTTTTTTGGGGGGGTTTTGCTTCTGAAAGAAGAAGAAGAAGAAGAGTAACGATCGAGATGTCCATTGGACACCAATTGGATCCGGTTCCGACCGCCACTGAGTGCGTTTCGCTCGGCTCCTCCTCCTCGAGGCTGCTCATGTTCTGTTGCGCTGCAGTGGTGCGCTCCACGATCACACCGATCAAGGCCTGAATTCGTTCGACGGAATGCTCCGGGGCTGATCGTGTCCTCGGCGGTGGTCCGCGTGGGCGGTGTCCGTGGAGACGGGAACCCCACACGCGGAGGACAGGTTGGTGAGATGGGAGGAGGGACTGGTGAGACCGTGAAAGACTGATTAATAAGACACAAAAAGCACAGTTGACTCGGAGACGATGGATTTCTGATCTTTCTGACGCTCCAGCAGACATGATATTCTAGTCTACAATTAGTCAAAACATGGGACATGAACCACTCATGTTGATCTGAATTCTGCAGGAAAGCTCTGCGGCCCTCTTGCCACGCTCTGCCAAGGATTTCTGCCTCATTTCAGGCATCCAAAGGTAAGTACACCCCGGAAGACTAACATGGACCCTGAAAACCACTGGTTGGTAGAGGAAAACACTCTTCCAGGGGGTCATTGTCAGGGTCTATGTTAGTTTTCGGGAGTGTAAACATGCCTCGCTTGGAACACGGAATTCGGACTTCGCCCGCGACCCGAACGAACACGCACGTCGTTCAGGCGGACGTGGCATCTGAGATGCGCGAGTCCGAATCCTGAAGTCAAACTTCAGCCTCTCAGAGCCTTGACACCAAGGGTCCTGAAGTGGAGTCGCACCCCTCCCATGAAGTGGGGCACGCTTCAGTGCCCCTCCCAGCCAAAGCGAGCCCCATAGGTCCACTGAAGTGCCAAAACGCCATCTCCCTCCAAACCGCAGGCGGCCGCCCATTCTCCCGACCGCCCCCAAACGCAGGCGGCTCTTTTTGGGCCTCGCTGGGCCTCTCTTCCTGAACCGGGAACCCCGGGCGTTCATCAAGCCGAAGCAGGTGACGCACATGAAGAAGATCAGCGGCAAGACCATCCAAGGGTTGTACTGGCGGAGCGAGCGCGCGAAAGGTGGTGTGAACTGTGTGGGTCAGAGCATGGGTTGGTCGACTGATCAGGTATTGAAGGCTACCATCTGTTCACTTCAAATGTGGAAGATTCTCTTGCTGGCTTGTTTCTTGGATATCTTAATTGTTGGAGCTCTTCTCGCATACGAAGGGTGCCTGCATAGACCTTCGTACCAAACGCCACATTACTCCAAGAGACAAACACTTGTCTGAAACCTTGAGATTTCGGCTGAATCCTTGATGCCAGAAAGCAGGGTACACTTTTGCAGTCTGCAATCCAAACCGCGCTCCATGTTCCGAATCTAGGCTCCCTGTCCAGTGACCAACCAACAGAACAACCCCAGAGCTCCGTCCGGGCAGTTCTGTCCCCTCAACGCCCCTCCCATCGCGAGGGTGCCCCGGGAGGCGCACCAGCATCTGAGGCCAAATCACGGCGGCCCTGGGTCAGCACGCGCGACACGCGCGGAGGTCGGTCAGGGCGGCGTGTCGGAGGTCGGAACTCCGAGGACGGATGAGAGCGCGGCGCACAGAGATTCCGCTGGGTACTCACGGGCGCGGTGCGGTGCTCAAGGCCTCCAAAATCGCAGAGAACTAGATCGACTGTTTAGGAGGTCGGTGTTTGACGGGTGTTCCCGCCGTGACGGCAGACCCTCAATGCACCCGGATGGCCCTCGCCCAAAAGCTGGTTTTCAGAAAGAAATAGGAAAGAGAACGACTTCACGCTCGCAACTTGGCATCAGGGCCAGTTCTCAATGAGAGCAATGTTGAAGAGCCTCGGCATCGACAGGTCTGCATCTGCATGTCATCGACAGGTCAAGTCTGGTGACGGCGAAAAATGGGAATCTGAAAACGCGTGGACCGGTTCTTTGAGTGATTGAAAAAGGAAGAAAGGGAACCATTTACAGATAGAAGAAGTCGTTTCCAAGACATTAGAGTCACTAGAGTCTTCATCAAGAATAAGTTCATCCTGAATCTCTTCTGGAAACCTTGTTTGAGTGCCTGACACTCCCTGTGACTTGCCGCCGCTTTCGCTTCATCCAGCCCTGCCACCTTCGTCACGCACCGGATTCGCCCGGCGCCACCGGGCACCCCGGCGTGAGCATGGTCCTCGGCAACGTCCCGAAGTACATGTCATTGTCGATGACGTCTGGCGGCGCCAGTGGCGCGGTGTCTCGGTCGGAGGTGTCTCAGTCGGATCGAAGATGAACGAAGAAAACCAAGGGGATTTGGGGGATTTGAGGGCCAAAAGACCAGTGCCTTTGGAGTCATGTAAAGGCAACGGTGGCGACCTCTTATAATAAGGTTGCCAGGTTGCCAGGTTGTCCGGCTCCCCAATCCAGTCAAAACAAACTGATCTGCCCCATCCAGCCATTCCTTTCTTCCACTTCCCCCTGCGAATCCTGATGGAGGGTCTACGGTCTATGTTTTTGAACGTCCGAAAGCCGAACTTGGAGGAAGTCGGGGTGTCCAGAACATCCACTCACTTCGTCCACAGCCCCTGGATGGGACGAGCCACACCACCCAACTCCATGCATGTGACTCCTGGTCTCTTGCTCTTCCACGACCTTCGGACCCCGGGTGCGTGCCAAAACAGGCCGAGGGAAACGCTCGAAGTCCGCATTCGTGAGATCACCCATCACGTTGCGGCAAACGATGCCGAAGGAATAGATCGCGATCAGCAGCAGGAAGCCTGGCTGGAAGGGGCGAAGGTGTTCGGGCCCTCTGCAGCTGAAGCAGGTGCTAAGGCACATGTGGCAGTGGAAAGAATGGGGAATGCACTGGTTTTGGCAGCATCTTTATATACCCTAGCCTTCAATGACCATTGAAAGAATGGTTGACCTGGTGATGTAAAAATCCTTGGTAAAGCAATGGTTCTTTGGGATTCAGACCATGAAAACCATGGTTGGCCACGAATCCTAGGGCTTTACGTCGCTTTTCCTGTGTTCTTTAATTATGGAACATGCATGCCAAAACCGCTTTTGACCCCAAGCTCCGGCGAGCCAGGCAAAACAAGTCACGCACAAAACGCAGGTCGTGATGGGATCTCTTGGAAAATCTGCCCATCACCGGGTCCGTCTTGGAATATCCCTAGAAGTCCAAACACTAAAAGGAAATTCCTGAACTCGGGTCACCTAAAGACCCTTCTCTTATCTTCTCTTTCTGTCTTTGACTCCCAGGGGTCTGAGTCAAAGACATAAAGAGAAGATAAGAGAAGGGTCTTTAGCTATGATTGTGGCCACTGGCATTCGAGAAGACATCCAACCAGTGTTACGAGGCCTGCGGCTTCCTGTCTCAGTGACGACCACTCAGCTGCTGCAGAAGCTGCACCTTTTTTCCTTTTGTCATTCAGAAACATTTGCCTGTAACCTTCTGTATGATGAACAGGAATTGCCTCGATATATGCCATGGAGAGTCATTGATGGAATGCGGATTGATCTGAGAGTTTCTGAGCGACAGGATGTCTGTACTGAAACGAGATATTCTGCAATACTGGAAAGCTTGGAGCTTCCTGACAGCGGTCTATCTTTGCTGCAGCATTCCATGCATCTCGAATTTGTGGCGACAGAGAGTAAGGATACAAAGTGTGAGAGACATTGTTTCAATCAGTGCTGCGCCAGCTGGAAAGGAGGGGTCTTTGACCAACGGCCCCTCTGGCCTATGCATGGTTTGTCTTTGCAATGCTGCACAAAGCAGGCCGCACCGACCGGTGCCATTCGACCCATGTTCGCCAATGCATGCTCAGATGCCATTTTGCAGATCAATCGCACTCTGACTGGTGATCGCTGCGCAAGAAAAGTGAGCTCATGTTTTGAACAAGCTCTTTCCTTTGCACGGTCACCTGTTTTTGGTCTTCCCCCCCCTGGGAACCCTGGTCATAGTGTGGTTTGGAGAAACTTTCGTTTTGACTGTCTTGACCAATGGGTTCTCAGTGGAGAGACTGTTTATGTTTATGACTTCCCTTGTGCTGCTCTTCGAATTGCTGAATGTCTCGAAGAGAAACTGCCTCATGCTGAAGAGGGCATGACTGCCCCCCAAAAGATGATGCTCCCTCAACTCGGAGGTCTCGTTGAGAGTTTGACAACGCCCATTCCCCCCACCTGCCCTGATTTGCAGTATATCTATGACCAGCTTCCTCCTGCTGTTCTGCATGACTTTGCTGAGCTTGTGCTGGACCCACCTTCTGGTCTGGACCGCATCACTCTGTACACTGATGGGTCTTATTCACAGAGCCACCCAGACTCTGCTGGTTGGAGTGTGGTGGTACTCGGCCATAAAGGCGATTCATGTTTTTTGCTGGACTGTGAATGGGGCATTGTGCCGGTAGACCCGCTGGAAGAAGGATGGACTGCAGCGGCGCATGTTGATTCAAAAGCTGCGGAGACACAAGGCCTGATACGAGCCATTGAATGGTGTTTCAGGAATTGGCAGCCGATTCTGCATGTTTTTTGTTTTGACTCTGGTTTTGCATGATCTGGGGCTTTTAAAATTTCCCAGGCTGACCGCCAACTGCGGCTCCTCCGTGGACCTTCATGTGCTCTTGACTCCTTTTGTGGCGCTCAACTGAAGCCAGAATGGAGATATGTCAAAGCGCATGCAAATGAACTGGGCAATGAAATTGCAGATGTTTTAGCTAAACGAGCAGCATCACTTAGAGACGAATCCTGGCAAGGGAAGCGACCTGATTATGCGCCGCATGTCTGCGGTGATCGACTCGGTATCGAGTTTCTGTGGATGGTTTTCCAAAAAGATCGGAAGATATGCCCTGTTGCTGACTCCTCTGCCATTGTCCTTCCTCCTTTAAACAAGAAACATGGAGTGGAAGAGCGTTTGCCGCAGTCCCTTTTTGAAGCCAGTCCTGGAACGTCCAGTGAAAAGAAACTATCCTTGCTTTGTGCAACCTACAATGTTTTTACTCTTGGTAAGCAGGCTGGCAATTTTGTCGGCTACTTGCGTGATCAGGTCCAAGCACACGGCATTGATGTTTTATTTCTGCAGGAAACACGATCTAAGAAGTCCAGCATGGTTTTGTCACAGACCCACATCCGCATTGTTAGCGAAGCTGTGCACGGCAAAGGGGGGACAGAGATATGGCTGCTGAGGGCTACCACATCCAATAGAGGAAAAGGCTTCGTTCCGGAACAGGTCCAGGTTCTATTGGCAGATGCTGAAATGCTGATCCTCAAAGCGGCCTATCGAAGTATTGATTTTCTGCTTGGCAGTATGCATGCGCCCCACAGCGGACATGACTCAAGTACGATACAAGCCTACTGGAAGGGTTTAGGGCGACAGCTCAAGCCCTACCTTTCAAAATACAACAATTTTGTTTTTGGAACTGATGCCAATGCGCATTTTGCTGCGCCTTGTGATGGCTGCATTGGAGATGTGGGGCTTGAAACGCGAAACAACATTGGAGGTGAGGCCATGAAGGACTTTCTCATGGAGATTCAAGGCTTCCTCCCCTCGACATATGAACATATCCATGAGGGTCAAGACTTCACGTGGCAGAGCAGTGCAAATGGAAGTGTCTCTCGCTGTGACTATCTCATTCTTCCGTGCAATTGGACCCATGCAAATATCAAGTCATGGGTATTGCACACATTGGACACAGCCAAGGATGCGATTGACCATTGGCCACTAGCTGTACAGATCAAACTGGTCTGGAACTTGCCACAGCCTAAGAGTTCGCGACCGGCTTTCTGTCGACAAAAACTGGCCATGGCGACAGGTGATGAGCTGAACGCCCTTCTTTCGCATGTTGAAGTCCCCAAATGGGAAGAAGATATTGACACGCATGTGACAAAGTTGTCTGGCCAGATTCATGGACTTCTATGTGATCATTTCCCGAAGAGCAAGCAACAGCCCCGCAAGTCCTTTATCTCCCAAGCCACGTGGGAGCTCCGAAGGTCGCGCATTCGGGCGCGACGATGCACACAAGGACTGAAGGCCCGGATTGATCTCTGCTCCCTACGAGCCTTTTTTCTTGCATGGTTTCATGACTGTCGTCCACAGAGAGAAGGGCTTTTTGCCGAACTGTTTGGCCACATTAAGCAAGTGCTCTGCAGCAAGGCACACACTGCAGCCCTGACAGTGAAACTCACTAAGCAGCTCAAGCAAGATCGGGTCAGGGCGTTGGAGACTTTGGCCAAGGACACTCTGCATGCAGGCCAACGTGAAACTATGCAGATGTTCAGATCCATTGGGGTGCTTAATAGGAAGAAGCCCACGGGGATCAAACCCCTACCATTGCTGCTCTCTCCTGACGGCCGGCCATTGGAAACTGTGTCGGAAATTGCTAAGCACTGGCGGGACTACTTCAGTGAACAGGAAGATGGGAAGGTCACGACTTTCCATGATCTCTTGGCGACGGCAGATGCTCAGGCGCTAGAAACGGTGCCGCTCCCCACATGGCATGACTTGCCAAGTCGCTACCAGATTGAAGAGCAATTCCACCGCACATCCGCCGGCAAGGCCTTCTTTGCAGACGGCATCCCAGGGGATTTGTTGAAGAAAATGCCAGCAAAGATGGCTGAAGTTTTTTACACTCTGTATCTCAAAGAAGTGATCTACTTGCGTGAGCCCCTTTTACACAAAGGCGGCTACTTGGTTGCTGCGTTTAAGAAGGGAGATGCACGACTGATGAGCAACTATAGATCACTATTTGTAAGTAGTGTTAATCGCAGAGACTGCATATGCAAGTTGGAGGCCTTCCGAAGCAGGGTATCACGCAGCCGGTTCATGTCTTACATTTGTTCCAACAAGCTGCACAACAGAAGAAAACCTCCACGGCCTTCCTCTTCATTGATGTTTCGAATGCCTTTTATAGGCTGGTCAGAGAGCACATTGTCTGTGATGGTTCTTCCCAACGGACCCCTGTGGAACTTTTCCGGGCTTTGAATCTTCCTGATGAGTGTTTTGAGGAATTCGCTGCGATGTTAGCTCAGCCTGCTGCCATTGATTCCTCTTCAGCACCGGATAGAGTCAAGCTGCTTTTCCAGGAATTTTACCGCAATACGTGGTTTGTTGTACGCAATGATCCAGCAGTAGTGCAAACACGACGAGGCAGTAGGCCTGGTGATTCATTTGCAGACCTTTGCTTTAGCTTTGCCTTGACGAAGATCCTCCAATCGGCAATCAATGAAGTCAAAGATGTGTACCCTGAGCTCAGCATCGGCTGGGACGGCCAGGCCAGGCCTTTTGCTATAGGACCTGAGACACACCAACTTGACCCTCTAATGCCCATATGGGCGGACGATGTTGCAGTTGCCATGGAGGACTACGAAGCGTTGGGCCTTTTGCAGAAAGCATCTAAGGTCTCGCAGATTATTCTTGATCGATTGCTGGTACAGAATGACCACCTTCTGCACGTTGCATCCCGTTATGGAAGTCTTGCATTGCACATTGTGGGGGCCTACCGCCATCTTGGGACATGGCTTCAGGCTGGAGGGGGTGTGCAACAAGATGTCCTGACTCGTTTTGCAATGGCCCACGATACTCTGACGCGGTTCCGCCCACAAATTTTTGCGAATAGAGGTTTGGGGTACCAGCAGAAGAAGAATTTTTTCACTAGCCTTGTTATGAGCACTATTGTGTTCAATTCTGCTGTCTGGACTCCCAGAAATCATCGCCAGCATGCTGCCATTGAACACGCTTTTTTCCGACTCTACAGAAGATTTGCAGTGCTTCATTTTGGCAAAAGTGCGATTCAGTGGAGAGCTGACCGCCTATACCGCACGCTTGCAATGCCCAAGCCACCAGTTGCGCTGATTGTAGCAAGGTTGCGATACTTGAGCCAATTGCTTCATAGTGCACAACCACACACATGGGCCATGTTGCAACGCAATCCTCAATGGTATTCCCAATTGCAAGCTGATGTTGCCTGGTTTGACCAGTTCTGTCCTGAGAAGGGACTCCTGGACTCCTTTAAGGACTCCTGGGATGAATTTGCTCAGAGAGTTGGGGAACACCCAACAAGATGGAAAAACTGGCTTCGTGCTGCAATGGCTCGACATATTTCTTCACAGAAACTTGAATACGAATGGCATTGGTGGCACGGAGAAATTATGAAGGAGTTTCTTCTGCAAGGATACCAATGCCTGACGCGGCCGTGTCATACTGAGTCGGCACACTTCTGCCTCAAATGTCGCAGAACCTTTGCTAGAAGGTCGGACCTTGCAGTCCATTCTTTCAAGGTGCATCAGCGACTTCGTCATGTTAGGCTGTTTGTTGTCGGTGAACAGTGTGAGCACTGCCTCAAAATTTTTGACCAACACGCGAACTTACTAAATCATGTGCACAATAATGAACAGTGCCGACTCTTCTACCAGCACAGAGATGTCCGGGTGGAGGCACAACCAGGTGTCAACAGCCGTGTGGCCAGACAGAAGCAGGGGATGCTTTCCAATCCCTTCATGCAGGCAGCAGGTCCTCTCTGTCAACCCCCTCTGCCGAGACACTTCCAGGATGAAGAGCGACAAGCCCTTTGTGCATCTTGGACAAAAATTCTGCATCAGACCAAGGACAGCCATGAACTTCTTGAAGAGCTGCGAATTGCAACCTGCCAAACCTACCTCTATCCTGAAGAAATTTTGGATACTTTCAGAGGATGGTGGGAGCAAGTTCTCAGTTTGTATTTCTTGTCTTGCAGTAGGTGATGCTTTTCTATTTCAAGCCTCCGGAGACTGGTTCCTACAAGGAGAAATTCAGATCCCCACTCAGCAGGCCAAGATTGATGCCTTCTTCATTCAAGAAGCCCAGAGCTTGCAGGAAGTGCACTTGTCGATCCCTTGCGAACCACGCTATGCTCCTTGTGTATTTGCACACTTATTTGCTGGTGCACGGAGAGAAGGAGATTTTCAACAACACCTTGAGCAACTTGGAGCTGTTGCAATCTCCATCGATATTATATACGATGTGACCTGGGGCGACCTGCTTCGCCCCGAGACATTTCTGCTCTTCGATAGAGCCCTCCGCCAAGGAATTTTGCGAGGTTTCCTAGCGGGACCTCCGTGTGAAACCTGGACACGGGCCCGAGCAGTCATGTCGGAGGTGTACAACATTAGGCCTGTCCGAAGCCGAGCACGACCTTTTGGCCTCTGCTGTCTCACACGGAAGGAGAGCGAGCAGGTCCTGATTGGCACCCAGCTCCTAGGAGTTGCCCTGCGCTTATTTGTTACGGCACTCCTTTCTGGCGCTACAGCGGTCATTGAGCATCCCTCAGAGCCACATGACATACCAGACTATGCGTCTATCTGGCGCCTTCCAATGGTTCGCTTCCTTCTACGGTTCAGACGTTGCCAGCTGATCCACCTGCTTCAAGGCCATTACGGAGGCCATTCGCCTAAGCCAACTTCCTTCTTGGTGGCGAATTGTGAAGGCCTGGAGGAAGCTTTGATCCAAGGTCGTACGACCTCTCTCCCAAAGGGAGGCTGCATAGGAAGAGACGAGTCTGGAGGGTGGAAAACGAATAAACTCAAGGAATACCCATCAGACCTTTGCAAAGTCTTGGCTCGGGCATTCCTGTCGGCCCAACCTCTCATAGAAAACCCTGGCGACCTGCCAGATTGGTTCCTGCGAGCGATCCAATCTTTAAGAGCAGGGTTCGACGAAACTGCCCCTCGAGGCCCTGATTTTCGTCGAATTGAGAGAACGGGCAGCTGATGAACTTTTCTTAATTCGTAATTCATGCAGCAAGGTCTGCCACGGACGACACGTCCTCGGCGTCTCGGAAAGAAGACTCCCAGCTTTATATCCAATCCCCTTCTCTCCTTCCTCTCCTTCCCCTTCCCGTCTTCCAATTGGGTCCTCCACCTTCGAACCTGAACGAACAGACCGTCGAACTCGACCGGCGAGCACCCACACCCCCGACCCACGGGACGTGGACCGCGCACGTGACGTCCGTGGACCGCGCCTATCCAGACCTCAGAAAGAGCCGACGCGTCACGACGCGTCACGACGCGTCCGCGGAGGAAGCATGAAGATCCTTGAAACCGGACGAGCGGATGAAGCCCCGCAATTGGCCGAGAACTGTGAGTCTCTCTCCAATCTTCCCTTTTTCTGTGGCGTCTTCGTCTTCGCCCTTTCGGTGAGTTTGGAGTTCCACACAAAGTAAGTAGAGCCAACCAGCAAACTTGAAGCCCAACCGTGGAAGCAAACAGTGCCCAGCAGTGCCTAGCAGTGCTGGAAACCCTTCTTGTTCCTAGCCATGCAAATTCTTCTTGTTCCTCCCCCAGGGCATCCAGGCAAACCACGATGTCGCTGGGAGTCCCAGTGGTTCCAGTTCTTGCTAAAAACATAGACCGGTTCTGTTCATCCCTGGTTCCTTACTACTTTATAGTGGGAACTGCCTGCGATCCACTGGGTTCCGGACATCACACCACCCTTCAGGGACGACACCCGAGCGTCCCGGGCCATGCATTCCAACGAGCTGAAGAGCCCCTCCATGATGGCCTGCGACGGCGACCCGCCGTCGGGTCGCCCGGGGCGACCGGGGCGACCGCCACCGCCACGCAGCGTTTGCGAGTGCTGCTCCAAGCGAGGGGGCGCCCTCGTGGTGAGCGGTCTTATTGGCAGCAGCTGTGTGAAGCGAGGACGAAAGGACCAAGGAAAAGGATCCCGAAGAAGGTCAATCAACAAAAACGGTGACATCCCAAAAAGTCGTCGTGGCTGTGCGACTTCCCCGGACGGTTTCCCGTCCCTCACTCGGGGTGACTCCCACCCACCTGTTCACACCCAACTCCGTTCGTTGGCTCCATGTCCGACAGCGTCTCTTCCGCCCGCAGCCGGTCGAACCACCCAACGCCCCGCTGACCGCCCCGTCACCGGTCCCCACCGTTGTAGCGGGGCGAAGCGCCCAGTTGCCGCGACGGGACGGGTTTCCCGGCCACCAGCTCCTGCCGCAGACCAATCAGCTTCGCTATCCTGTCGATAGAAGCGGTGGGTGGTCGAGCTGAGCTCAGTCGAGGTCGACGAACCTCACCAACCAACAGCAGCACGCGTTGGTGCCAAACCCAAAAGAAGAGCGCCCCGTGTGCCAGCCCCAAAAGCAACGCATTCCCCCTGAGGTGAAACCCCCAAAAAAAACGCCCTCCACCCCGTCACCGCTGCTCACCCCGTCGCCTGATGATGCGCAAGAGCTGCATCGCTCTCAGGAGCGGCCTCACCAGCGGGGCGCTCGGCTTGCTGGGTCCACGGAGGCGTCTGCGGACACTACATGCGGAGTGGCATATAGATGCCATACGGCCCTTGAAATCACCCCAATGTAGACATCTCTTCCATACATTGGAGTGTCTGGATCATGAAACACCACCCCAAACCCAGCACCCTCCATGAGATGTTTGGCAGGGGAGAAGCTAGTCTCTCCCAGGCTGCCCCGTCGATGTGGCTGTGGACCTGTGGCACTCAGTGCACTGCTGGACATGCACGCGCCGCGCGCCCGACGTCCCGTCTGCCCGTCTTCCGAAAGCGGCATATAGCAGATAAGCCAGAAACTCTTGACTGAAGGCTAGAATGCGAACATCCCTCACCTGAAAGAAACTTCTTGAAAGGTCTCTTTGAGGTGTCCCCTCCTTAGTGGTCTGTGCCCTCTCCCAAACAAGAATCGAAACCCGCTTTAGAGGTCTCGATGACGATCGAACCTGTTCCTTTTCTCCATCGGGGTCACGTCGAAGAAACAACTGCACCCGGAAAAATTAACATGGAACCTGAAAGTAGACCTTTGGAAGACTATTTCCCTCTACAACCCAGTGATTTTCAGGTTCCATGTTAAGTTTCCTGGGTGCAAGAGCTGCGTTTTCAAAAGGCCAAAGGAGAAGCCGAAACCGAAACCGAAACACCCCAAACCCTTGCTGTGGACCTGGTGGATCTGAAGGACCTGGTGAACGCCCCCCTCCAACAGCTCCACCGGCCCCCCCTCGCTCGGCTCCCGCGCGCGTCGTTGATGTCCTGCCACCTCGCCGCGGACGACCGGGCGGCCGACGAGCGAGCGAAGATCCGGTGACGGAGCCGAGATCGCTGGCTGTGTGATCTCGGGATGCCGATGATTTGGGGTCTGAATGGGAATGGGGGTCTGAAAGGAATACATGGATACAATATATCGATATATCTGTGTATACCTGTGTATAGAGAGAGAGAGAAAAAAAAACAAACATATAAAAATAGAATAACAAAAAGTATCACAACTATTAACAAAAATAGTAAATAAATAGACTAAAATAAAGTAAAACACAAAAAAAAAGAAACAAACAAACACAGGGTGTCGTTGCAGCTTGGTACAGTCCAGTCGAGTCGTACGTACGTCTGCTGGGTAAACCAGACAGAACGACTTCTGGAGGAAGAAACAGGATCACTTCGGATTTGGAGGAAGTTCACCAGCAAAATGATTGCAGGTTCTCACTACCTCCTGCAACGTGAACCCGAAACGAATCCATCGAAGGACTCACTTCACACGTTTCAGGGTGAAGGACTCTTGGTTCCAAAAGCACTCATCTTGTTCCGTCATCTGGGAGTGTAACTGGAATAGGAAGACCCTCCAACCAATGACTTTCCGTCTAAACGTGTCCTCTTTCTTGGGGGTCTTTCAGGGACTCCCCTCCCCACGAGGAGCACTGACAACCTGACAGGCTGTGACACCCGGACGATAAGATCCAGCAATCCGCAATCGCGAGCCAGGCGATGACCTTTGGACGAAGGAAACGAGGAGGAGCACGCCTTCTGAAGGAAAAGAGCAAACCACGTGTGGTGTACTTGGCAGGAGAGGTTTGGGGGCATCCAGCATCACCCATTTGATAGCTATAGGCGGTTCCCAGACGGTTCGTGCTGCGAAACGCCGGCGCTGCAGCTCGGCTCGACCCTGTCTTTTGGCGCGTCGAGACGAGTGGGGGTGGAAGAATGTTCGACCAGCAACTTGGGAAGAATAGATCTAAGGAAAAAGGATCGACAGAGAAGAAGGCACCTATCACAAACTGAGTGGGAAACGGACGGAAACGAACAGGGAACAACGTGGGGGCTTGGTAGGTAGTTCGGTAGTTGCTGTGCAAACGAAAGAATTGCTCCCATACGAAATCAGGTGTTACTTGCAAAAATACTCCCTTGCCTGCCAAACCTGGCCTTTGAACCAAGAAAAGCAAGTGTCTGACGAGCTGCAGTTCCTGGTTCCTATCTGGTCTACCTGCCCAATTCTGCTCAGTAATGAGTCTTTTGACATCCTATAACACTTGTGTGCTCAGCTTCAGCCTTTTAGGACGCAAGGATCCAAATATCACTACAATTCACGATAGGTATGTAAACAAGATCCATTTCGTCGTGATCGTTGACCATCAGAAGCGAGCTTGCGCCGGCTTGCGCTTAGAGACCCCAAAAATAGTTCCTGCTGTAAAAAAGAATGAACGAAGACCCGCGGAATTGGGGTCAACCAGCAGGTCTTCTCCATAAACCCATGTGAAACCTCTCCAGAAAGATCCAGGTCCATCCACGATGTTCGCCGGACTCTCCCAGTGGTCGTGGTGCTCGACTCAGGCGGTTTCGTTTCTTGGCCTCGGGATTACCCGTTGGGATTGGGCTTCACATGGAGTCCAGGCGCTCGAGAACATCCATGACTTGCCCCAAACACCAACCATCTCTGACTTGAAAAAAGGACTCTTCCGCCCTCCCCGCACTGACTGGCCACGTCCCGCACTGACTGGCCACCGTCGGAAAAAACCATGGGGTGATGGGATGAGCATCAAATAGGACCGTCCCCTTCCCCCAAAATCGGGATCTTCCTTTTTGGACCTTCGAACTCTTCCGCAGCAAGCTCCACTTGCCGAAGGAGCCCTGCATCACATCCTCCAGCGCCTCGGACGACACGTTGCACCGCTCCAGCTCCTCGCGAAACGACGCGTAGCCCTCGCCGTGCAACTCCTCCGCGCTGCGCCTGGCCGCGAGTCCCGCCGGCGGCGGAGGCCGGGCGAGTGCAGCGGGAGTCGCGAGCCGTGGGTGGGGAGAACGGGCTTCCCACCTTGTGGTGATCAGCTCGTTTATGCAAGTATGTACGTGGGGGTTGGGAGATCCAATATGATATTACGACTTATTACGATATATTCAAGTTCCTGAAGCAACGCTGAAAAAGAAGCCGCACCGTTTTTGGGACAACGGTCTCCCGTCTCCCATCTCGCCATGTCTCGCCTCAGGAGCGCCACGTCCGAGCCGTTCAAGCCTTGCTGCCGCAGCAGCTGATTCCGCGGGTCGTTGGGCGCCCGCGACTCGGTGATCGACGGCAGCGCCCAGCAGCGCCGCGCCCGCGACGCGGTGAGCGCGGCGCTCGTCTCGGCGTCGTAGAGCTGCGCCAGGTAGGCCACGGGATCACGGGGACAGGGCACCTGGAGAGGAGGAGTTGGACGCGTCAGGAAAGTGCCATGACGTGACAGGTCGACGATTCCAAGAAGGCGGGTCGTCTTAACAAGACCCAAAGGAATCGTTGTCTCCTTCCCAAAAAAAAAATCGACGATTCCAAGAAGAACTGGACTTCGATTCGGGGTAGGACGCATGTGGCGCCCCGAGTGCAAAGTCCATTGGATGCTCCGATGTGGGAGTGGCAGTCTTGAATACAGTGAATCACTGCAGTGATGTGGTGGCTGCTTTTTCTGGGACATGAGCAGTTCTGGAAGGTGAAGACAAGATGCTTTCAGAGAATGCCAATTTAAAAAGTCTCTGTACTGCCTAGATGAAGATGACTTTTTGGGTTCAAAAGAAAGAGTCACGTTCGTGTCAGCATCTTTGAACAAGGAACAACGGCCCAAAAAGCATACCTCTTCGGGGTCAAAGCACCCTCCTACCCAGTCGGATGGAGTGGAACAAAGAAACCTTCTGGTTCGAAAGGTCAGAGGCACACTGCCCACCACAGGCGCCCGGCACTTCTGCAGGGGAAAGACCTCCTGCGCCCCGAAGCAGCGTCTCGCCGCGCCCGCCGCGCCGGTCTCCGCGCCGCGGTCGACCGCGGTCTCCGCGGTCTCCGCGCAGCGGCGGTAAGGACTGCTCAACTGCTCGTCGCGGAAGCCCAGACAGAGGCGTCCCGGCAGCAGGTGATAGGCATCGAAGTCCACAGAGGCCACATAAGGCTCGATGCGGATGCATTTCATGGAATGAATCTCGCCCAAGCAAAGGACTTCGGAGGCAACGGTCAGCTGGCAGCTGTGCCATCCCTTGTCCAGCAAAGAAGCAGAGATCTGCTGCGCCAAGTGAAACCAGGAGTCTGCGCTGTCCACATGAACCATCCAATCCATATCTCGGTCGACCACATCAACTTTAAATCCACTCAGTTTCCCCTGCAAGTCACCATAGCGAACCAAGCCGATCAACGTCCCACGCGAAGGGAAGTATTGAACCTGGTTCGATTCCAAGACAGCCACGCACTCAGAGAATGCACTGTGTTGCTCCTGGCGGTTCAACACCACCTTCGGAATCTGCTTCATGTGCGGCGCCCGATTCAACGCGCTCGGCGGCACCAGCAACCCCACGACGCCCAAGCGCCCTGAGAGCCACCGGAGCTCCGCGCCCCTCAGCGCGGCGCCCGGCCCGGTCGGCGCCGCGGGCGCCGCCACCGCGCGGTCTGCGTCCGTCCGCGGTGCGGGGAGCGCGGCCAGCACCAAGCGAGCAAAGTACAGCGCGGGCCTCCAGGGCCAGGCCTGACGGAGCACGGGAGCAGGTGGTGGAGGTGGGTGGAGGACGGACCAAAAACGACGGGGACTTCGGTGCGTTGTCACTTGCACGGGAGTGAAGACCCAAAAGAAGGGGGGATGCATTGATGAATCACTTGTTGCATCCGCAAAACTGTCTGCAAAACAGACAGTTTCATTTCTTTCATAGTGAGTGGATGTATTAGGACTATCTGGACTAAGTCGGACACATTGTGCTCCGGATGGCACACTCCCCGTCCCGTGCCCAGCACGCGAGAATCGGCCCCGATCCGGAGACTCGGCCCCGAACGGGGCCGAGACCGTCGGAAGCAGTTTCAACAACCCGTGCGTTCCGGACGAGGGAGGATCGGTTTGGAGGAGGAGCACAGCCGGGGGGGAGGATCGGACGAGGTCTATGCCGCTGTGCCCCAGCCACTCCTATGGAATGTCTACAGGAACGCTCCCTGGGCTCGGACCCACTGCTCTGGGCGAGCTCAAGGTTGGGCGAGCATCCAGCGAAAGAGTCTGAATTCTCGTGAAATTGGTATAATCCTCCTCCAATCCAAGGGATTTCCATCCAATTCACCCCTCCCAACTGCCAACATCTGGGCACCTGCTTCTGCCGCTCCGGAAAGCGATCGATGACCTTCACCGCCAAAGACACGTTCCGCGCGGCCATCTGCAGCGCGGCATCTGCCAGGCGCGCGGCCTCGCGCGCGCCGAGCAGAAAAAGCGCGGAGGTGAGGCTCAGCAGCGACTCGAAGAGTCGCACGAAGGCGAAAGCCACGTCGGGGCATTCGCAGCCCTGGCAGAGGTCAAGTGACCGGACCCGGAACACTTACCGGTTCCTGGGATAGCCGAAACATCTGTTGGATGGTGTAGTGAATTGGGTGGAAGTATTCGGAGCCTTTTGAAAGGTCGGGTGAAATGGGGGGATCCTGGAGAGGTGTTCCAAGACTCCGAAGATCCGGTGGAGTCGGTCTCCTTTTCGCTGGTCATTTTTGGCTCTTTCCTTTTCTGTATTTTTGTTGGGGGGTAAGAAGATGAGAGAAGATAGGAACAAATAGATCAAGCCACCCACGGGTCATAAAAAGACCCTGACACCCACAGTATTGAGTCTATTCTCACACATCTTTGGGAAGGATGTTCAATTGACAATCAGGGTATCGGTATCGGTATCGGTGAACCGGTTCCAAATTCCAAACAACAAATCCACAGCGTGCTCAAATGTGGCTTGTCAATCTGGCGTCTCGAACGCCAGCGTTTTCTCATGAACGGTTTTTTCTCCTCCGGCCTCGCTAGGACAGTTGCCACGCTCATTGGGCTCCTCTTCCACCAAGCTGGCCCGGAAAGGAAACTCCACCCATTTCACAATCGGTATCTTCTTGGTCAAGTAGAACCTCCTTGTATATAGATTGAGGTCATGGAAGATCCTAAAAGCTTCACAACAACTGCCGTTGCTATACAGATCGAACTGCATGTAGGCCGTGCAGTTGCCTCTGGTGCCCACCAGCTGTTCCAAGAGAACCCACGCAGCCAAGGCGGCATGCCAGGACCGCCAGCAAGACATGGCTCTGCCATCCAACTGGTCATGGGTTGTGGATCATTGCGCCAAGAAAAGGATCAATGGCGATCGCATTGGAAGTCTGGTCGCGAACAGGCAGCTACGGTCATGGTGTTCAAACGGTGAGAACTGACCTCATTTGGGATTGACCTTCATTTGGAACTGACCTCGTCTTTGGAGCCTTCAAACTGCTACAGTCTTTCGACCGTGCCTATGGCACCAGGCTGAACCGGAACGTGGCAGCGGGTCCGCGCGCGTGCGTTCCGAAGCTCAAGCGCGTCTGGCCCGGATGCATCCTCTATTGACGCCACTATCCTTTGAGGGAGAAGTTGGCATGGATGGCCCACACAGAGGATGGCATAGATGGGATGGATGGCCACTTGGCCTCTTCATGGGTCCATGCCACTCTGGCCATGTGGTCGATGGAGTTGTTTGGATCCACGTGGAGTCAGACTCGCTTAGTCAGACTGGGATGCTCTGGTCGGGTCTCGGCTCCCGGAGTGGGTTCGGGTCCGTCTTTCCACATCGGAAGGAAAGCCATCAGATTCGTAGAAAGTCATTGACCGGATTTCACAACTTCAAAGGTTTGGAAAGTTGAGACCGACCAATTAAATCCAATGGATTTGTCTTATAGTGCATCAAATGTTGGACAAGTCTCAACCGATTCAGAAAATACCTGTTTCAGGACTCCCGGCTTTGTCCCGAAAAGGGGTAGCTGGGTGCTGGGCCTGATGTGCCCTTCACATGAGGCCCCTTTTGGTTGATGGTTGATTATCGCTGCAAAAGTTCTTGGTGTTATTGAAGGTGAAAGCGAAAGCTCTATAAACAGTGGAGGATAGTGGAGGTAAATCATCACAAGTCACTGGTTGCTATGGCAATGGAAGACTTCAGGACACACTAAGTGGTCTCCACCTTCGGCAAATATGATCATCAGGGGCATCCCTGTCTTGCCTTTTCTTCCACCTCCAGGTCACTTGCAAGTTCGATGCCCGGAAATGGACCGGGCCGATCTTCGTCGCCGCTCGATCTTCGATCTGTCGGAACCGATCAAAGCCATGACTTCGCCGCCTTCCACGCTCCGCCCCCTCGATCCCAGCGGTCTTCCACGCTTCCGACAACGGGGGGTGTTCAAGGCGGAGAAGGAGTCTTCCGCCCCGCTGGTTGGCCCGACGGGCAGTGTGAGTCTTCCACTCCCGGCCCCTGGTCCCAGCGGCGAAGTCCAAGAGGTTCCAATAGACCGGACCGCCGGCCTCGGCAGGCGAGGGCGTACGCGGCGTACGCGGCTGGGCGGAGCGAGGCGGTGGAGAGAGCGAGAAGCGCGGAGATAGGCGGCGGAGGGCCTTTTTCTGAGGTCTCGCGATGTTTTGAGTCAGGTTCAAGTAGCAAATTATAGTAGCAAATATGACAAAGACCTGTTGATTCATTGCTAATTCAACATGACACACCTACTTGCCCGTCCGCAGACTTCCGCGGACGGCTACGAGCCGTGCCCCCCCCCAAAAGGTGGAGACAAACGCCAGCACCGTCCCTTCCTGGGAACGGCTGCGTGCGGCAGTGGTCGCGAAAGCGGGCAGCACGGGAAGACCATGCGACCTGCTGGGCCCCGGTGGATCTCAAGTTGCAACCCATCACTCAATCTCTTGCGGCCGCATTTAGCTGGTTTGTTGACGATGCTTCCTCCAAGCCTCACTCTGCTCCCAGCCGGTCGCTCAGGTGAGCTCAGCTGTTTCGGTACTCCAGCTGAGCTGAGGGCATTCCAGAAGTACTCCAGCCGCAAAAAGTAGATCTTCAAGACCTCTCGTGCTGCGAGCCGCGTGTTCCACGCGCGCGGCGCGGGTTTTCAAGGGGGGGTCGGTGGATGTCCAAGCCAGGTACTGTATGGGGCAGGGCAGGAACTGCTGAAAGCATGGCACGGGTGGTCGCTGAAGTGTCCTGAAGTGATGATCTGTCGTCTGAAGCGTCCTGATCCGTTTGTTCACACGGGTCCACCACTGTTGGACCAACTGTCTTCCAAACTTTGAGCTGGTTGTTCCTTGATGCTGAGTGACTACGATAAGGCACCCCAAAACCTTAAATAGGGAGAGTTACTGATGCAAAAACAATCTGTTCAAAAGCTCCAGCCACCAACGATCGTGCAACTTCAGAACACCCAAGTCATCTGCCCGTTGGTTTCCATTCATGGCCGCTGCAGCAAAGAGACCATTTCGATGGTGAAGACCGCAGTGAAGACATTCTCGAAGATCAGCCACACCCTGAGTTGGATGAAAGAGCTTTTATATAGAGGAAACGATGGAAACAAGCAGAGAAACACATTGAAATGTCCAAGCAACGCTCTTCCATCATCTATCTATTCCTAGATTCGTCTCTTCCTCCCAATCTGCCCTCTCTTTGCCCCTTCTGCACCACCTCACGCTTGACCTCCACCTGCTGGGCCTCCCCACAATGGCCAGCTCCCAGTCTGGAAGTCTGCCTGTCACCGGTCACTCCGCGCAACCTCCTCCCCCTCGCCGTTCGCCAGCCACACTCCGTCCCGCCCGGAACCGCCCCGACCGGCCTGACGCGCGCCGGACGCGCGCCGGACGTGCGCGCCTGCATGCCCAGCGTCAAGGCGTTCAGGATGATGGTACCTCGACCGTTCACGCGCGGCGCGCGGCGGCAGGTCGAAGGCACCGAGACGCGACGAGGGGGGGCGCCGTAGATGAAGCAATGAAAGATCTTGGAATCCACCACGGAGGTCTTCACGGGTTCCTTCTCCTGCACCCAGAAGAAGTGGAGATGGCTCAAGCCGTTCTCTTGGCTTTAGGCCATTCTCTTGGGCCAAGCCCGTTTCCAATCCCCTACACGCTCCGAAAGAGGGATTTGCATCATGCTCTCCATGTTCCGAGATGCTCTTTCTGTAGCTGCTGCCTCTCTTTACACCGAAAACATCCATCTCCAATACTGCAAGGCACTTGCCCTGTGACAATTGAAACCCATGAAAACCATTGAAAACCAACTTCATATATATATATATACATGTATCTATGAAAAGCCAGTCTTGTTCCTGTGACACCCTTCCTGAAACCGGGTCACGCGCGCGTCCGCCCCCCCATTCGGCGGTCTCCTGGTTCAGGCCCCTGGGCCGTTCGGCCGGGTGGAACACATCGGTGCCGAGTGACCAAGCTGAAATGTGGTCCCCTTGTTCTCCATTCCGTGACCAAGCTGGCTGGTTGGCCATGTGAATCCCATATACCATGAAACATACCAGCACCCGACGACTCTACAGGTCTCCGACATGGAGGCTTGTAGGCTTTTGGAGACTTAAAAGTGTCAGGTGGTGACCTGTTGGAGGGTGCTGGTATGTGTAATATATCTCAAAAACCAACATCAACTTGATTTGAACTTCTTTTCGAGCCATGTGGATGTGGCTTTAAGTATGGAAAAAAATCCTGTACACTCATCTACCCTGTGGAGCCACAGCCAAATGAAAAAGCCACAGAGCCACAAAGCCCCCGATCGCATCCGGATCGGGCGCCGATGTGCCTCCCAATCAAGTCGTTGACCATGTTCTCCACCATCGAGGAGGACTCTCCCTGGCCGGGTCTCCCCGTCGGCCAACACCGGCGGGCTGGACCGACCCCCTAAGCCTTTTCGCAGCTGAGTGACCCAGTAAGTTGCCCGGTTTTGCTACTTTAAGTGGATGAGACAGGCCTACCAGTCACAAGACGGGGTGCCCAACTTGGAGGATAAGGGTGCCCAGAACATCCACTCACTGGATGGGGCTAAAGACCACCCCGTCTTGTGACTCCTGGTACCTTTCCATCATCTCAACTGCTACATTCAATGACACAGAGACTGTTGATTCAGGCTGTATTTTGAACAAGGAACATGTGCCAAAATCGGCTTTTCCCTTGAAGGCTTTGAAGTAGCCTCTACCAGAAAGTTCTCCAGTCCATGCAAACTGCAAGAAAAGAAATCGAGCACGTCGCCGACCACTGGTGTTGGCTCCTCAGTTCTTGCTGGTGTGGATCATGAGACTTTCGGTGCCCTATTTGGCCCTATGCCGGAAGCGCTTCCTCCGATGTGGCACCTGACCATTCTTGCATGAAAGGAGCGACCAGAACAGGTGACTTTCAGCGCGTCCGACGTCCGAAGCCTCTTTCGCCCACTTCACACCCTGCCCACCCTTGCTTCGGGAGAACGAAACAATCCTCCCGAACTCCGCCAAAAGGTGGCGAGAGGGAAAACCCCCCGGGGCGGCGAAGATGTCCCACCCAGGAAGTAGGTAGGTGGTGCGCGTCTTCATCTCGTCTCCGAGGTTTGCTTGTTACCTGTTGGGATACCCAAGAGGCGCATGTTTCCCGGTTTCTGCGAGAAAAAATGAACACCATCCCAAGAGACTTCCAGCGCTCCGCGGCGCTCGGCCTTCATCACGCGCTGCAGACGCTCCGCCGTGGCCTTCCGATCCTCCGCCTGAACTCGACCCACGGCGGCGACCAGGCGGTGCGGCACCGGTGAACTCCGCTGGGTGGAGCAGTGATCGTCCGCGATCATCGGAACTGAAGGATCTCAATGTCGACATGTCAAAGGGTTCCTGCAACAGCGTCCTGGGTGACCCCCCCTACCATCACTTCCCTCCAATCTCCTCTCCCCGGGAACCAAGCCTTCAAATTGACAAAGACCCATCCAGTGAGGATCAGAAGCATTACGGAAGCCCATTCAGGGGGGCACGTCTCACCACCTGCCATCCTGGAACCCAGGCCAACACGTTCTCCCACCCTGCAGCAGAAGCACCTCCCATGTGGGAGTGTAGACGTTGGACCTCCACCTGCCAGGATCCAAGGCCGGGTCTTCTTGGTCAAGAGGACGTGCCCAAACCACCAGCGCAAAACCCCTCAAGAGTCCTATTCTTGAAGAACCCAAAAGGTCTCTCTTTAAGCCATGAACAAGCCATTTGTCTGGATTTGGGGGCCGCTTGAGACCTCCTCCTGTACCGATTGAAAAGAGTTCACCATGTTAAACCCGTCGCCCGGACTCTCCCCGACCGACTCCTCCTCCCCCGCCGAGGTTCGACCGTCGTCTCGGACTGAGGGGGTTCGTTCCTCCCGTCCGAGAGGCCACCGGGGGGCGTGGCCTGAAAGCAACCGGATCCAACCAGAGTCCGGTGCGATCCAAGTCCAAACGGGTCTGGGGGTCTGGATCCGGAGCTGTGTTTCGGCTGAGTCTATGAAAGGTACCAAGGATCCGGACCTGAAATGAGGTCCATCGGAACCTGGATCCGGGCGGAAAGCTCTTCATGAAAGAATTGGCAACCTTCCGGTCACCCGATGGCCACCTCTTCGACTGCCGGTGGGCATGCGCCGAGGCCACCTTTAGCGGCACTGGGGTGGGCGGTTTCGGTTGGATCAACGAAGCGGGTGAGGTCACCCCAACCCCGACGGGGCGTGTTTCAGCGGCACTGAGATGGTGTGTTTGTCCTATCGTTTCAATAGATGTGATGAAGGATCTACCTGGTATCTACCTCAGAACAAACTTTTGATTCGATTCTCAATGGGAAGTCACACAAATAGACACTGACTGTGATGCACGACATAAGAACTGGAATACAAGGTTTGTGAACATCTGGTCGACGGGAGGGTGGGTTCCGGTGCTGGAGTTGGGGTCAAGAACAAAAACTTGCAGTGAGTTCCTCCCTGTTTTTGTTCCTTGCAAATAGGTGTTGAAGGCTCAGGTGCAGCACATGCCATTCCCTCTCCTTGTTTTCTGCCGAAGATACAAACCCCCAAACTTGGTCCATCTGCCATGTTTGGCAGCTGACAGGACTTTGAGCAAAGCATGTTTAAAAACTGCGGTGGACACTTAATTCGGACCATTTCGCGACCCCAAATCTTTGCAAGTCCAACAAACAGGGCGCTGGGTCTCCGAACGAAGGCTCCGTTCAGCACCGACATCTTCACGGAAAGGGCGAAAAAGGATACGTTCAGGTGTTTCCAGAAAATGGCAAGCAATGAAAACCGTTTTGTTCCCTCACTGAAACGTTTGGCAACTTCAATCTAACAAGTATTTGTGGCGTCGAACTGTCTTTTTGCTCGCTGTAGCGGGAAGTCTGGCGTTACTTCTGCTAAACGGTCTGGATCGCGTCCAACACTGTAACATCAATCTCCAGCTGTGGCTGATCAAGTGCCGCGGCACGCAGGTGACAAACGGAAAACAATCAACGTCATCTTTGACAAACGAAAGTTAACGGGTAATTTCCCGATATCCAAAACAAAACATATGTTGAAAAACAAGTTTTTGTTTTTTTGCACCAAGCTGGGCACGTCCACCCCAAGCCCGCAGCATCAAAGCTGTCGGAAACAACAGATCTGGAAGGGGTTCTACAAAATGCCACGACGGATGCAGTTCCAACTCAAGGTCATTTGGGAGATGGGCCAGCGCATCTTCCATAATGTGGGATCCGAAAACAAAAATGGTGAATGAGACCAAAAAGCTGAAAAACATGTATATGTATATATAATACACAAAGATATTACAGAGAAAAAAATTACCCGGCATCGACCCCAAACAGCAGCGGCAGTCGGAGTTCTCTTTTTTGGCCGATCCATTCCTGGGAGACAAGGGGAGACAAAGGCATGGAACACAAGGGGAGACAAGGAGAGACAAAGCAAAGTGATCCCAGCCCAACATCCAGACACGCCATGCGAGACAATGGAAGACGAAGAGAGACAAAGCAAACTCATCTCAGCCCAGCATCCAGACAGGAGACATGGGAAGACAAAGCAAAGTCATCTTAGCCGAGCATCCAGAGACGCCAGCAAAATCATCTTGGCCAGTGATCCCAGTCCAGCATCCAGACACGCCATGGGGAGACAGGGGGAGACAAAGCAAAGAAGCTGCTCAAGCGGATTGTGGCTGCAGCAGGCTGGAAAGCCAATCTTGGCACCAATGACACCTACCTCTGAGGAATGCTTCTCTGTCGCAAGTAGGTACTACTGAGGATGCAACAAACCAATTCGTTCCTCAGGCGCAAGTCCGTCTGCGGGCCTTTGAAAAATGCAGTGCACTGCGGCAGATTAACTTTGAAAAAACAGAGTATGACCCAACCAACCTGACACGCTGCCTACCTGAAGGCTGTTTCCTGGAGGCGGGGATTGTCTCGCTAGACCTGCCGGCGGACTTTACTTGGATAGGACCAGCGGCTTGCGAAAATTGCAAACGGTTGCAACGAGTTGACCTCTCCCGCGCTGTTCTGAGTGAGATTCTGGTCAGTCTTTGCACACTGCTCGCAATTGGAACAACTTTGTCTCGCCAAACAGTTTCGGCGCATTGGACGTGAAGCCTTTCTGAAGTGCATCTCGCTTCGAGAAGTACACACTCCGCCAGCTTTACTGTATGTTGCCCAACGAGCATTTGCAGGATGCACGCAACTTAGCAAATTTCACAAAGCAGAAACCAAAATAACATGGAGAGGACCACAGGCCGAGCATAGCGCATTTGATAAATGCCATCAGCTTGCTAAACCTAAATGGATTCATCTTCTCCCGCCGAATCAAGGCGGTGCTAGGACAGTTGGAGGCTGAAGAGTTTTACAAGGAGCTACGCAAAGACCTGCACTAACTTTGCTGGATGCCCAGACCAGCACCCATGTGCCGTTCCTGCCAACAACATGAGTTGCCAAGTGGGTGGGTTGGGTTTGTTGTTTTGGTTTTGTTTGTTCTGTTTCCGGTTTTGCTGCTTGGTTCGTATCTCTCTCTTTTACTAGCCTAAGGTGACTTGTGCGTCCTCTGCACACATTCATATTATGTGGGCTGTGAGGGTGCGCGTAATGCACACCGGAGCCGCTGATGATCACTAGCGCCTCGACCTGCGCAAAAAAAAACAACATGAGTTGCCAAGTGACCTACTGTACAGCAGCACAGATTAGCTGGACAGCGCCCAGGCTGCCACCCTAGTGGCGGTCCTGGATAAGTATAAAGTGTACAGGCATGTATGGCAATGCGACACAGGATAGCGGCGTTTCATCCTGTCTCACCTGGTAAGGGGCCTGCATGTTTCAAGACTCGCACACTCCAAGGGGCTGATCGATGCTCGACAATTTGTTGACAATGAGCCAGTCTACCCTCAGTCTGGCTCTCTGTGACCTCTTTGGAAATTTTGTCTTTCTGTGGCTCCCGTGGCCAAGCTGTTTTTAGAGCCACCCCTGCAAATTCAAAGAGCACAACTGTCGCCTCCCCCCCTTTGGGGGGATGGGATTTGGCCTTGTCGGAATCGTGCATGCTCACAACGCAACACTGCACTGCATGTTTTTGGTTTCGCTGTCTCATGCTGGCGTTGATTTGAAGTCCTCGTCAGCTGACACAGTGGTCTTCCTTGAGCCTCATGTGCCTGGATGTCCAGTCCGAGAATTTTGCCTCTACTACCCTTATGATGTTGGCCTTGTGTGGTTCACTTGCCTATGTGTGAGCCGCCGCTCAAATACCGCTCAAACACTCGTGCCACTCCAGCCCTTGCAACACGGCACACTACTGTGCTGTTTTTTTGCACGGGTCGAAGCGCTATGTGTGCAGAGGATGCACAAGTCACCTCAGTCTAGTAAAAGAGAGAGAGAGAGAGAGAGACACGAACCAAGCAACAACACCGGAACAAGAAACCCAAAACCACAACAAAACCAACCCAACCAAAAAGGAGCAAGGTTCGTACCTCAGGTTGGCTGCGTAAGCCAGTGGAGAAGAGTGAAACCAGGTGAAACGGAGGGGCAACGAATTCTCCTTTACACTCACTTCATCACATTCTGGGCATAGTCCTCTTTCTTCTAAAGAGTCCGTGAGATTGGTGCGCTGCTGTCGAAATGGTTGCATTCATCTGGCGGTGATATGCGATGAGGGTACAGCTATGCGGCCAAGGTTCCTTACTTCAAATGAGGCGTCATCGCTTGAAGCACAACATTGCAATGCATGGATGGACAGCTCGGATCCAAGAAACGAGACGATTCAGTACACATTTACACCTCGCAATATCAGTAAATTTCTGAGGACATGACGAAGGAGATAGCCTACGTAGGCTGCGAGGCAATTGAAGCACAGGGGTAATGACTGAGTCAGCTGAGTCAACTCCCGAAGACTAGAAATCGACGAAAGCCAGAAACAGCCAGCCACAACAGACATGGGGGGTGCAAGGGAGCACCGTACCGGCAGGGTCGCCACCCCCCCGAAAGGGGGAGACGGCAGCACTCCACTTCAGCAATGCGACGGTGTCTCCTAAACAGCTATGCCGCGAGAGACACAGAAGAGCCAGTGCAGAAGCTTCATAAGCTAATCGAGTCGCCGGCTGGCACAGTGACAGGAGAAGGTTCAGTCTCGATTGGCGCCGAGCTGGTGTGTCACCTTGATGCCTTCTTGAAACACGCAAGCCCCATGAACTAAGTGAAACAGGGTGAGACGCCGTTATCCTATGTCCTAGTTTCTGTACAAGTCTGTACTCTTTGTATCCATCCAGGACCGCCACTCGGGTGGCAGCCTGGGCACTGTCTAGCTACTCAGTGTTGCTGGATGAGGTTGCTTGGCATGCTCGTCGTATTTGCAGGACCTGCACGTGGGTGCAAGCCTGAGCAGTCCGCACAACCTACTGCAGGTTCTTGCGCAGCTCTTCACAGAAATCATCAGTCCATCCCTCATTTGGATGGCTTCGCTTTGGGAGGAGGTGGATCCATCTTGGGACTTTGAGCTGACTGCTTTGTCAAAGGCACTTGACTCCGCGTATGGCCCTCTCCACGTAGTTCTGGCGTCTGGTTTGTGCAAAGCACAGAGTTGTATGCATCCTGCAAATGCTCGTCGCGCAACATACAGCACAGCTGGTGGGGCATGTACCTCCCGCAGCGACGAGCAGTTCAAAAAGGCCTCTTGCCCAATGCGCCGCAGCTTGCTGGCAAGACTTAGCCGCTCCAGTTGTGAGCAGTGTGCAAAGGTGGACCCCAAAATCTCACTGATTTCTGTTCGTGAGAGGTCTACTCAGGTAGGCAACGGTTCAAGTTTGCAGGGTCATACTCAGTTTTCTCAAATCTAAGTTCTCGCAAAGCACTGCATTTCTCAAAGGCCCGCGGACGAAATTGCGCCTGCGGAGCCAGTTGGTTGGCTGTAGCGCTTTGGCTTCCTATACCTGCACCAGGGAGCAGCATTCTTCAAAAACACAAATTCCAAAGTACTTGCACCCCGGGGCAAGGACGGTTCTGAGTACGTAGCTTTTTCGAAATACACCATCTTGCAGGCCCGTACTTGGCAGTTTAACTACTTGCAGTCGAAGACAGCTTTGCCAGGCAGCCTCGCCAATGGTGTGTATGCCTGCGTCTACTTGCACATGCCGGACGTCTGAGATGTGTGAAAAGGCGTGTGGCAAAACTCGGTCCATGTCATTGGACGGGACTCAAATTGCCTTATTTCTCGAGGAAACCATTCGTCTTCACTTTTGAACCTCTTACTGCAGCCTTCAGAAAGCAGATTACGTGTCATGAACTTGCAACTGAGTGAAACACAGTGCTCGCACCTTTTCTTTTTCCGGCAAAGGGGCTGCTCTCAAAGATGGACCCGCCGACAC